GTGGATCATAACCTGGCTACAGTGAATCATACACTGGTTAGGGTGGATCATAACATTGATACAGTGAATCATACACTGATTAAGGTGGATCATAACCTGGCTACGATGAATCATACACTGTTAGGGTGGATCATAACCTGGATACAGTGAATCATACACTGATTTAGGTGGATCATAACCTGGGTACAGTGAATCATACAAAGGTTAGGGTGGATAATAACCTGGATACAATGAATATACACAGGTTAGGGTTGATCATAACCTCGGTACCGTGAATCATACACAGGTTAAGGTGGATCATAAACTCGGTACAGTGAATCATACACAGATTAGGGTGGATCATAACCTGGATACAATGAATATACACAGGTCAGGGTGGATCATAACCTGACTACAGTGAATCATACACAGATTAGGGTGGATCATAACCTCGGTACAGTGAATCATACACAGATTAGGGTGGATCATAACCTCGGTACAGTGAATCATACACAGGTTAGGGTGGATCATCACCTGGATACAATGAATATACACAGGTTAGGGTGGATCATAACCTGGCTACAGTGAATCAGACACTGATTAGGGTGGATCATAACCTCTGTACAGTGATTAACACACAGGTCAGGGTGGATCATAACCTGACAACAGTGAATCATACACAGAACAGGGTGGATCATAACCTCGGTACAGTGAATCATACACAGGTTAGGGTGGATCATCACCTGGATACAATGAATATACACAGGTTAGGGTGGATCATAACCTGGCTACAGTGAATCAGACACTGATTAGGGTGGATCATAACCTCTGTACAGTGATTAACACACAGGTCAGGGTGGATCATAACCTGACAACAGTGAATCATACACAGAACAGGGTGGATCATAACCTCGGTACAGTGAATCATACACAGGTTAGGGTGGATCATAAACTGTATACCACGAATATGCACAGGTTAGGGTGGATCATTACCTGGCTACAGTGAATCATACACAGGTTAGGGCAGATCATAACCTCGGTACAGGGAATCATACACAGGTCAGGGTGGATCATAACCTGGATACAATGAATATACACGGGTTAGGGTGGATCATAACCTCGGTACAGTGAATCATACACAGGTAGGGCGGATCATAACCTGGATACAATGAATATACACAGGTTAGGGTGGATCATAACCTGACTACAATGAATCATACACAGATAAGGGTGGATCATAACCTGGATACAATGAATATACACGGGTTAGGGTGGATCATAACCTCGGTACAGTGAATCATTCACAGGTAGGGCGGATCATAACCTGGATACAATGAATATACACAGGTTAGGGGGGATCATAACCTGGATACAGTGAATCATACACTAGTTAGGGTGGATCATAACCTGGATACAGTGAACCATACACAGATTAGGGTGGATCATAACCTGGATACAATGAATATACACGGATTAGGGTGGATCATAACCTCGGTACAGTGAATCATACACAGGTAGGGCGGATCATAACCTGGATACAATGAATATACACGGGTTAGGGGGGATCATAACCTCGGTACAGTGAATCATACACAGGTAGGGCTGATCATAACCTGGATACAATGAATATACACAGGTTAGGGGGGATCATAACCTCGGTACAGTGAATCATACACAGGTAGGGCTGATCATAACCTTGATACAATGAATATACACAGGTTAGGGGGGATCATAACCTCGGTACAGTGAATCATACACAGGTAGGGAGGATCATAACCTGGATACAATGAATATACACAGGTTAGGGTGGATCATAACCTGGATACAGTGAATCATACACAGGTTAGGGTGGATCATAACCTGGATACAGTGAACCATACACTGGTTAGGGTGGATCATAACCTGGATACAGTGAATCATACACAGGTTAGGGTGGATCATAACCTGGATACAGTGAATCATACACTGGTTAGGGTGGATCATAACCTGGATACAGTGAATCATACAAAGGTTAGGGTGGATCATAACCTGGATACAGTGAATCATACACAGGTTAGGGGGGATCATAACGTGGATACAGTGAATCATACACTGGTTAGGGTGGATCATAACCTGGATACAGTGATTCACACACAGGTTAGGGTGGATCATAACCTGGCTACAGTGAATCATACACTGGTTAGGGTGGATCATAACCTGGATACAGTGAATCATACACAGGTTAGGGGGAATCATAACCTGGATACAGTGAATCATACACTGGTTAGGGTGGATCATAACCTGGATACAGTGATTCACACACAGGTTAGGGTGGATCATAACCTGGCTACAGTGAATCATACACAGGTTAGGGGGGATCATAACCTGGATACAATGAATCATACACTGGTTAGGGTGGATCATAACCTGGATACAGTGAATCATACACTGGTTAGGGTGGATCATAACCTGGATACAATGAATCATACACTGGTTAGGGTGGATCATAAACTGGATACAGTGATTCACACACAGGTTAGGGCGGATCATAACCTGGATACAGTGAATCATACACTGGTTAGGGTGGATCATAACCTGGATACAATGAATCATACACAGGTTAGGGCGGATCATAACCTGGATACAATGAATCATACACTGGTTAGGGTGGATCATAACCTGGACACAATGAATCATACACAGGTTAGGGCGGATCATAACCTTGATACAATGAATCATACACAGGTTAGGGTGGATCATAACCTGGATACAATGAATCATACACTGGTTAGGGTGGATCATAACCTGGATACAGTGAACCATACACAGGTTAGGGCGGATCATAACCTGGATACAATGAATCATACACAGGTTAGGGCGGATCATAACCTGGATACAATGAATCATACACAGGTTAGGGTGGATCATAACCTGGATACAATGAATCATACACTGGTTAGGGTGGATCATAACCTGGATGCAGTGAATCATACACAGGTTAGGGCGGATCATAACCTGGATACAATGAATCATACACAGGTTAGGGTGGATCATAACCTGGATACAGTGAATCATATACTGGTTAGGGTGGATCATAACCTGGATACAGTGAATCATATACTGGTTAGGGTGGATCATAACCTGGATACAGTGAATCATATACTGGTTAGGGCGGATCATACAATGGTAAGTGTGGATCATACATTTGGTTTAGGAGGATCATAAACGATAATATATCACCAGCTGATCATTCGTTAACTACAGTATTACAGGTCTTGAGAAAGGATATGACTGTCTTTCATTTAAACAGGAAAAGAACCAGATTGTAGGAAAGGATCGTTTACTGATAACGACTTATATCACATCCCTCACTTCGTGGCTGCACGTGATGTTTATGAGTGGTTGACGATATCAGTTTTAAGGGTGTTTAAACATAGCTTTGTTCAAGTGAAGCTGCACGTGCGGAAATGGCAGTAAACTCGCATGGTTTATTAAACTTAACACATTGTGAGAACTTGAGTTAACAGTTGAGCGCCCCCAGTTGTGATATCATCACCGTCATGTCGTTGTAAGGAGCCTCCACACGCGATGTGCCGCTACCGGTGCCGTCAGCCCGCCGAGGTATCAGTGTTGGAGTTGCTATCAACACTCGCCCTCGTGCTGGTGTAAGCACTTGTAGTTTATGGACTTCACACGAGCCGGCTGTCGACACTGGAGCTGTCGTCACGGGGGACTCGCGTATCCTTCAGTCATTGTTACTGTAATTCTCTTATAGTTAAAGGACTTGGTGTACCGGGGTTGTAACTGCGATGTAGCTCGGTTTTTTTATCAGAAACTCTGTTTTCACAGACGTTCGGTGACAGGATTTTTTTTATATTCACGCAAATTATTTATTATATACAAACGCTGACAAAAATGTACTGTTGAACTTTTCACCAGGCAAACTGGAAAACATACATAAGGTCCGAACTAATAGTATAAATGGTTACACCTGCATGTTGGGTGTTGACGCTGGATGTTACGATTTATACCTGCATTGGATTGGATTTGATTGGATTGGATTGGATTGGTGAGGTGAGGTGAGGTGAGGATTGGTGAGGTGAGGTGAGGTGAGGTGAGGTGAGGTGAGGTCAGGTGAGGTGAGGTGAGGTGAGGTGAGGTTGAAATTGGGTTTAACGTCGTGCTTGAGAATATTTCGCTCATATGACGACGTGCATGCGTGTGTATGTGTATGTGCGGCTGCTTGTACTAGCCCAGACTTAAGCTGGTTTTATAGTGCTAGCCCACTGAGATACCACGCCGCAGTGAAGCATGAATACCCCACTCAGACACATTATACTGACTCAGAGCCGACCAGTCCTTCTTGTACCCATTAATGCCGAGCGCCAGGCAGGGACCAACAAGTACCATATTTTAACGTCTTTTGGTATGACGCGGTCGGGGATCGAACCCGCGACCTTCCGCTCTCCGGGCGGACGCTCCAATCACTACACCACGGAGGCGGCCGGGTTGTAACAGTGATGTAGCTCGCGGTGTTTTGTCACAAACTCTGTTTCACAGACGTTCAGAAACAGGATTTATTTTATATTCACGCAAATTATTTATTATATACAAACGCTGACAAAAATGTACTGTTGAACCTTTCACCAGGCAAACTGGAAAGCATACATAACGTCCGACTAATAGTGTAAATGGTTACACCTGCATGTTGGATGTTACGATTTATAGCTGCATTTGTAGATGGATGTTATTCGTTGTAGCTGCATGTTACGGGTTTGTAGCTATATGCTGCGCGTTGTAGCTGGACGTTACGTGTTGAAACATAAAGGGGTTCAGATTATCTTAAATGGTGCTAGGGGCTGTGGGGTAGCCTAGTGGTCAAAGCGTTCGCTCGTCACGCCGAAGACCCGGGTTCGATTCCCAACATGGGTACATTGTGTGAAGCCCAGTTCTGGTGTCCCCGCCATGATATTGCTGGAATATTGCTAAAAGCGGCGTAAAACTAAGGTCACTCACTCACTAAACGACGTTAGAAAGAAGAATAATAATGATATATTTCTTTATTGGTGAGACTAGACATCATATCACGTAAACCACTTTTACTATACAAGAATAATACATGTTGGCTGATAGGACACAAACATGTCAATATCACGCAGGTCTGTGCGGTCAAAAGTAAACATAAATACTTTGAGATTTCATACCCGAGATGAAGATAGAAAATAAACATAGTCGGGACTCGACAAGATCACATTGAAAAAAACACAACTAGTCACTGATCATGGTGACTAACCAACTTAACACTGTGTAGGAGCTCTATGTATTTGTATGTATATGCACGCACGAACGCACGCACGCACGCACACACACACGCACGTGCACATATGTATAATAAGCAAATTCCATTAAACAGAAAAAAGTTTGATCGACAAGTTACACAGTCAGAACTTCAGGTACAGGTATATGCAGTTCCTTGGGACGGAGATAAATACGTCAAGATTAAGACCTGAAATAGAGAGCCCTATCAATAATATGTATCTCAAAATTCACTCAGTTAAACAACTCCAGTTTAACACTTTCACGCTAATGCCATTTTCAGTCAGAGCACATAAGAAACATATATTCAATCACGAACGTGCAAGTGTTCATAACCTTAGAAACATCTTCAACATACATGCATTGCTCTGTTACTGCTTTGTCTTGAGGTAGTAAATTTTGCCATTCATGAATCTTCAATCGATTTGTGTCAAACTTCGTTTGTCACGTGATAGCTTCATATGTCACCATACAGATTCCTGAGCTATTAACCAATACAACGTGTCTTCAACCAATCTGTGTAAACTCTCCTCATGCCAAAGCCCTAAGAATTCAGTCATTGAAACCATTCCTGAGCTATTAACCAATATAACGTATGTTCCACCAATGTGTATAAAGTCTCCTCGTGTCAAGGCTTCACGAATCCAGTCAGTGAACATCCCTGAGCTATTTACAAATACGTGTCTCCAACCAATGCTTATGAACTCTCCTCACGCCAAGAATCCAGTCAGTGAAAATATTCCTGAGCTATTAACCAACACAACGTGTCTTCAACCAATGGGCATAAACTCTCCTTGCGCCAAGGCTTCAAGAATCTAGTCAGTGAAACCATTTCTGATCCTTTTTCCAATACAACGTGTCTTCAACCAATGAGTATAATCTCTCCTCACGTCAAGGCTTTAAGAATCCAGTCAGTGAACGCTCCTGATTCAGATCATGGATGTATGATTTCAGATCATGTGATTTCAGATCACAGTTGTTAGATTGTGACTATGTCACCAGCGATCGGCCAGCGGCCTTGTTCTATTTCATAAACACCTTTTACCACCATTGACACGAGTCTGTGTGCTCCCTGAAGAGTGGTCACATCCAAAATGACGTCAAACGTTAATTCAATTCTGAGTTCTTTTCTGGAGAATTCCTGCACCCAAGTTTCATAGATTTCCTTACCCTGAGCAACGTTAGCTAGGACACTTCTCCCCAGTCTGCGACATGGAATGTGGCACCATCAAGCAAAATATACCTGCAACAACGTAAGCACCATGTGAAACACCCACATAACGCAAAGCGGCCCCATCCAGCCATGCCGGATCCTTATCTCGGTATCCCTCTGGTACACGGAGGGTACCATCCCGCAGATGTAGGGCAGCATCTCCACTGTGTTGTGGTCCTGATACTGCTTCTCGAACGCCACCAGACTTGCCCAGAAACTATTATTGGGGTAAATTACCTCCCTTGCCTTGTACACTTTCTGATAAGCCTGTTTCAGTGTCATGTGGTGATGCTTGACGAGGTAGGCGATGCACACGGTTGCGGAGCGACTAACTCCAGCGATGCAGTGAACGGCCACCCTTCCTCCTTGGCACGCCACCTCGTGCACATGGTCGACCAGATACTCCAGATGTGGAAGGATGTTCTCGCTGACGGCGTCCCTCAAGGACACACGCTTGACCTTCAGGTCTTCCCGTGGATACTTCAGGTCCTTGAGCTCCATGGCAACGTTCAGGATGTGGGTGATGCCATGCTCATCCAGTGACCTCTCCTGTGTGACCCCGCCCACGCTGCTAAGATACACGTGTTTTGTGATCGCCGCTACCTGGTTGGAAAAATAACGCATGGTGGGTGGCCTTAGGACAGTCTTAATATGATCCGCGAGAGACGCCAGTGTCAATGCTGGTGGGGTGACAGGAGGGTGAGGTAGCTTTTTTTCAGTGAAAATATTACAGAGGTGACAGAATCTTAATCGGAGTTCGGAGATCCCCAACTTCGACACATCTGTGATGTTTCTGTATGACCTTTGTCATCAAAATGGCCTACTTCCGTTGCTGCTGTTGACAGTGATGGGACGTCAGTCCTAAAATAGAGATATGTAGATCAATGTAGAATGCCATAATACGTCACTGAAAGGGACAAATATATGCAAAAATATTTCTTTAGGTTTATGATTCTTGTATTATCAATACTAAGAGTCAACAGAACTTATTCATTGCTTATCACAAATGCTAACTTGGTGAAGGGTGGTACTACTATGAATTTTCTTCTTAATTGACCTGTGAAGATCCGGGTTCGAACTGGTCTTTAAAAACCAATGCTTGTCTTAAGGGAGACTAACGGGATCGGGTGATCATGCTCGCTGACTTGGTTGATGCATGTGGTATAACCAGATCGAGTAGATCGATGTTTCTGGGCCGACTGGTCCAGAGTCGATTGTTTACGGACCGTCGCCATAGGGGTGGACACTTAGTGCGGCGTAACACAACAAACAAACAAACAAAACAGACATATTGTTTTGCGCCGCACTCACCACTTTTCCACCTATATGACGGCAAACATTAAATAATCGGGTCGACCGGAAAAGCGAGTAAATGACGTCATGGGCACCGAGGAACGCAATCGGAATACGACGACATGCATTAGAAACGTCACCGAGCCGGACAACCGATCCATTTGGTCGATCCTTAGAACCAACATAGATTCCTGGGACTTTACAAATTCCGGAATCTCGACGGGTAGGTTTGTTATTGATGGAGCCACCACTCTGTTATCTGATCTTTCAATCAACATTAGTAAGAATCGACTTAAAGATATCTCATCTCCTTCATGAAATATTTATTCAGATGGTCGTATGTCCAAACGTAAATGATCCCTATCTCATATGGCTTATATGATAAGCACATTCCTATTTTCGTGAAGGTATTAAAATACCACATTCTCAAACAACCGCATATTTTCACGGTATCAAAAGTACAGTGGCATTTTAGGTCAAGGATGAAAGGCTGGTTAATGCACAAGACGTCTGTGCTGGAATTATGGATCCAAGCGGTTATTATGTGGGATCAGTGCCACACCACAATAAGACAGAACATAGATATTGATGAAAGCTGATTACCAAGACAAGAGTAAGTTATTAGTTGCATTGTTTCAAGGTTGAGAAGAGATTAACAGTTGATTTATGTTGAGGTAAAAACCGTAAAAACGCAGTGCTGACTGACTGAGTTTAGTTTTACGCCGCTTTTAGCAATATTCCAGCAATATCACGGCGGGGGACACCAGAAATGGGCTTAACACATTGTGCCCATGTGGGGAATCGAACCCGGGTCTTCGGCGTGACGAGCCAACGCTTTAACCACTAGGCTACCCCACCGCCCCCAAAACGCAGTGTATACTGCAAAGTTTACAGCTTATGTCATAGCAACCGGTCCTCTGTACAGGGGCGGTGGGGTAGCCTAGTGGTTAAGGCGTTTGTTCGTCACACCGAAGACCCCGGTTCGATTCCCCTAATGTGCACAATGTGTGAAGCCCATTTCTGGTGTCTCCGCCGTGATATTGCTGGAATATTGCTAAAAGCGGCGTAAAACTAAACCCACTCACTCTTATGAACAGGAACATCCTTGGCATTTTAATAGTTGTCTCCAGTTATGAATATGATCCAAATGCATTGAATAATATTGACTCAATGAAAACAACACATATATATCTAAAACCCTTTTAAATACTTGTTTTGTGATAAGGGAAACATTACCGTCTTGTGTATCTCTGTGGTCGTACAACGCCCACAACTGTTTGTAAGCGTCATGGATGCCTGCCTGACAACCGCTTTGATATGAAATCAGTGAGGTCTACCGACAAACTAATGTAAGCCAGTGAAACAAAGTTGACATATTTTACGTGCGCTTCACCCAATATTCGCCGAACATTAACTGTGTACAGGCCCAGGAACTCAACGTTTCGTCGTCGCTCGTCGTTTTATGTCCTGCTTATATCTATACGTTAATATAAACTATTTTATTGCAAACTTGTTTCGCAAAAAAAAGGTATTTGTTTGAAACAACATAAAGGGAAGTAACTCAGGTTGTGGGACATCAATTTCAGTTTTGCAGTTCACCAGCGACACTGAGTGCTACACCAACAATGTTTAGGTCACTATTCCTGTTGGAATAGGCAGTGTTATCGTTCCAAGTTTTAATTCACTCTAAATGCCCGTCTGACTCTTTACATACCGGTGGTGCGACCACTTCCTGTGCAGTGCTGTGGCAATGTCTATCAAGGCAAAGTTTTACACGTCAACTAAACCAGAAGCGATTAACACTTCTCATTCTTGAGCTCCAGTAGCTGCTGTTGGTCGACAACTCGGCACATTACGTACATTACCTTGCTTGCACGTCAACAAAGTCTCCCTTCCAATTTCACTCAGTTGGTGGCAGCACGAACTGTGTGTGTTGATGGATTATCTCCCTTTGACCATACCCATCATCATTTGTGGCATGACGTTATGGAGGAAAATAAAATATCCACAGAACTCAAATTTCCTTTCCTGGTTTATTACAAATGCATTTGGAAGAACAACTTAAATGCATAAAAATCTATCACAAATTATATTTGCATAATCATGTGTAATATTGAGTACCCTATATAAGAAAATGTATTTTATTACCCACGTGGTCAACGTATGGGTAGTTGCATACTAATCTCGTACGTCACACGAGTGTCGTATGGCGTTGACCTGTGTCGTAACGACTTGACCTGAGATTCTAACGATTTGATTGGATAACCAATGACCTCTCAGTTAGGTCACATTCTGACATAACTATGTTTTCATTCATAACAAACACGTGAATTCATTCATTCTACAACTTAAATGCATTGTGGGAATGTAAACATTGCGAACGTTGCCGTGTCGCTGTTTAATTGTGAGTCGAACTGAGACATTATATCTGTCGAAAAACATAAACGCAATGTTTCCACCAGTGATGTTAGCCGAATGAAGCAACTGGAAACCAAGAAACGAGGTGCTACGGAGTAGTTTACTGTAGGAGGCTGTACGAGGCGATGACAACTGACATGCATTGTGACGTCGGTTACCAAGGCAGTGACGTCATTACAGTGTGACGTAATGCAAATATTGTACTACAGTACAAAACTCTTCCGCAACCTCTTTATGAAACCGGTTTTGGTTTGAAACCAAAAACATAACAAAAATACGCTATTTTGTCAATTTAATGCATGTAAGACGTAGGTAATAAATAAAATACCACACTCGGTCTCATTACATACGAATTATACAAAACTCGTGACCTTCCTGTGATATCTGACCTCGTTTTCGCTCGGTCAGATACCATAAGAAGGACACTCGTTTCCTATAATTCCGTATGTAATGAGACCTTGTGTAGTATTCTCTATATATTCCTTATCAAGATTGTCAAAATGTATATAGAACATTGCATACACAGTTGTAACTTCATTAAACAATTGGATAGTTGCCAATCATTATATTACATGTATTTTATAGTGTGGTGTGAAATTTAATCATAAATATTAATCTATACTGGCTGCAGAACAGTTATCGCCAATACATCAGTATCACACGTGCGCAGGTCTGGTCATTTAAATTTCCAGTATTTTTCCACGGTATTTGACAACAATAAAGGACAGAAAAAGAAAATTCTTCTTAAGTAACATGAAAGAAAATGAACCCAATAAATCTTTTTTAACTTCTTCGGAGGGATGTCATACGCTCTATGTAATAGCAAGTTCAAGTTCACGAAAATCATTAATTGTTTCATTCCCTATCAATCTACTGTAAAACAAATACTCAACTAGTCACACAATCAATTATTGGAGGTTACTTTATGATATAAATATAATTATTTCACGAATGACATGAGAAATTCTGAAATAGCGATACTGACTTAGTGACTGAGTATGGTTTTACACCATTTTTAGCAATATTCCAGCAATATCACGGTGGGGGACACCAGAAATGGAAATGGCGATAACTGTTGCAGTTAGTTGTGAGAAAAAGCCTATTTGTACTGCCATGATTCCCTTCAGCCATGCAAACACCTAGTTGCGGGTACAACGTGCAGTAAACTTGGACAAAGTACTGTGACTATGTGTCCCAGTCCACCCAACTGTGAATGGGTATCTCGTTAGGATGAGCAAGCCACAATAACTCTGTGCGCCTAGTGGCAGCAAGAGTTGTATACTCCCCAGGGAGTTGAGATTGATAATACGATGTGCGGTTGAGATTGACATCCAATGATCGAGGGAAAAATACGAGCGCCTTGAGCATGCACCAGTTGCGGGGATATGTGCGTTATATAAATATACTATAAAATAATGTTCATTTAAGAAATATTTTTGTAATTGGTGGAAAGTGTCTCTCAAACACACCCTGTAAAGCCTGTCCAGAAACAGTACATGTGCCCGATGTCTGGTATTTATTCTGCATTGGCTACAATGTTCAATCATTTTCTGCCACTATGGTATGAAGAAGATTATCAGATGGAAAGAGATGACACATTATTGGTATGCATAACTCCGGTATGTCCTTTAAAGCAACTGGTTGGGAAATGAATGCCCAGTGCACAGTGTCTGTCGTTTGGTCAGAAAATACAGGGAAACCGGGAGTTGAAGGATTGCCCACGTTCAGGTCCCAGGGTGACATCAGATCGTGAAGACAGGGCTCTATCGAATCTCATTTGATGACAACCATTCACCACAAGCACTGTTCTGAAGCACCACTGGTTACCATTTTGCAGGGCATGTACGAGAAAAGTCTGGAATCGTCTAAGGAGCGCTGGGTACAAGGCTAGAAAGGTCATCAAACACCCTCTACTGAGCGATCATCACCAACAAGCATGTTTGGCTCGGTGTTTACCACCGCAACGCTTGAATCTGAGGACTTGGCAAAAGATATTATGGTCTGATGACAGCCGACTCCTTCTTTATGTAACTGATGAATGCTTAAGATTTTGAAGATAGCAAAATAAAGCATTTGCAGCAAAAAAACATTCAACCAACTGTTGCCTTTGGTGGAAGTTCTGTCATGGTGTTGGGATGTGTCTCTCATGACTGTAAACTTGACTTGTAGACAATATGTGGGAATTTGACAGGCAATCAGTATATCAAGGCAGTGCTGCATCCAGTTGTTGTCCCACATTTTGGTGATCATCCTCTTGCTACTTCTCATGCAGCTTTCATTCAGAAAAATGCAGTGACTCACCTTCTGTGCCCCACCATGTGTCCAGACTTGTATCCTCTGGAGCACATTTGCGACTTTATCGAGCACGTATACCACTTGCTCAAAATCTGTGTGAGTTGGAAGCGGTGAGGGTAACAGTAAGAAAAGTTCTTAATTGGTGATTTCATACCCAACGATTGAGACCTACAGATGGTAGATGGTAGGGTTGGGTGATAGAAAGTCCGTTACACGGGCAGTGGTTTTTTGACACATCCCATCCCTAGATGAGATGTTAATCAGGCACATGATGTAGGTAATAAAGTATTTGGTCTGAAAACCACTGCAACAAACTATATTGAATTACAGAAGAAATTAGTTCCTCACAACTAGATTCAATTGATAAGAATTCGTTTACAATGATGGTTCTTGAAGCTGTGCTCAGTGGAGAAGAAGCCTCCACAAGTTCTGCACTTCGATATATGGGACTGTTTGTTGCTGGATTGTTCCGTTCTCAAGAGGAAGTTCTTAAGGGTTGGAGGCACATGTATTTGTGATAGATAATTCAGCCTAAACTCAAGGATGCAGTCGACTGCTATCTGCATTAAGCTGCTCGCAGATTTGACATGATCCAGGCTTTGAAACTGAAGTTTACCTTCATCATACCATGGGGTAACATCCGAATACATATCTACACGATTGTTGCGTTTGTTTAAAGCTGAGAAAATGGCTTCCTTTCCCTCAATGCACATAGATAAAGGTGGCGATGCAAGATTGCAGTTTCCAGCAACATCTAGTACTTGTAGATTTGACAGCCATAGGAGGCTTGTTGGTAGGTATGTAAGTGCGTTGTGTTGAAGGTATAGTTTCCTTAAAGAGGGTATATATCCCATAATTGGAGATATTTCTGACAAACAGTTTGATGATAAATCACACAATTCGAGATGTCGCAGGTACACCAGTGACCATGGGATTTCTCTCAGTTTATTCTCCTGTAAACGAAGCGTAGTCAGGTTATAAAAGTTGCCGATTGTAAGAGGAATGTGTTCCACTAAAGAGTCTGTCAAGATTATTTCAATAGCTGATTGTGGATTCCTGTGTTGTACTAATGCTTCTTCAAAATCCTTATCTGTTGACACACCGGAATCTGACGCTTCTTCGCAATCCTTTTCTGATGACACACTGGAATCTGAAGCTTCTTCTAAATCCTTTTCTGATGACACACTGGAATCGGACGCTTCTTCGCAATCCTTTTCTGATGACACACTGGAATCTGACGCTTCTTTGAAATCCTTATCTGATGATACACTGGAATCGACACTTTTCTGGCAGTGGTTTATAACTTCAACAAAAGTGATCTTGCTCTTTGGTGGGTTTTCTCATGATTGTCAGCCTTTTCATGGTTTTCTTGGGCGTCTGAAACTGCATCGCCATCGTCTTCTTCTCTAGCGATCGGCAGAAATGGGCAAGTACATTTGAGGCATCGTTTAGCGCGTTTAAACATTACGGACACTATAGATACTATACTTCCCCTCACACATGAACGACTACTCGCCGTCACAGTTATTTGCAGAGACAGGTTCTGAACAATTCACTCACCTCTTGTAGGCTTAGTTTCCACAAATGTCTGTCAGACTAAACATGAGGACTCCACATCCAGTCCTTGGCCTGGTGTACACAGCCTTATTTCATGTCAAGCAAGGCTCAACAAGTGTCGTCATTTGTATGAATTGTCAGTGCCCCAAACCTTAATAGAATCTGACTCTTTATAATATGACACACTTTTCCTGTGTGATGTGGCAGTTATAACGTTGTCTATTAATAATTTTGTTATATTTAGTACCTTAGTAACCTCAAATTACTTACTTCCTGTTTACTTCCGTGTTTGAACCCGCGCATGCGCAAATAATACTTCCTCCAACATGGCGGCAGAAGATATCGAACAGCCACAGGTCCCAGCAATGAATGACCCGTGGGCACCCCAGTCCCCGTCTAATGTGACTGTATTGCCCTGTCCCACGGACCCTTTACATCAACTTATCAGTTCTGACCGCTATATCGAATCCTTAGGTATGCATAACTCTGATGTTTAAGATACTCCCTCTGGTGTTCGGGAATGAGAACCAGGGGGCGTGGTCATTTTCCGAACTAAATTAGTAAATATGGTCTTACCATGATTTTTGCTGATCTTGTTTTCATCTTTGATGCTAATTGTTAGTTGTGTTAGTTGTGTTAAGATATAGGTAGGTAACTCCATAGTTGGCAATCTGATCCCTGCTTGTAAATAGTGGTGAATGTATTCTGCACTGGCTTCAAGTTCAAATACCAATGCCGTCATATGATTCCGTGGTACCAGAGACCATATAATAGATAATATGGTCTCTGGTGGTATTTACGTTTCCTTGGTATTTTCTAATGACATAATTTCTCACGAGCCACTCACCAAATCGCGCCACCTATCGATTGTTTACGTTCATCAGTTGATCGGCACGGCTCTGAGCAAAAAATATTCAGACTTTCATCAATTTGCGTACGTACAGTCATCTACTATTAAAAACTAATGCAACTTTATGTCTAGCACGTAATTCACTTTTGTGTGATCTTTACAAACATTTCTATAAACTTATTCAGCTTCAAAGTTTTCCAAACATCGCCCGTCTGCTAGCCGATGTCATCAATAAAAACAATCACGTGACTTAAGGGGGAATCCCAACTCTATTATTTAAACTATGAATCCCAATAGGGTCTTCTCTTAAGTTGTTGTTTCACTTTTCATTTCACGTATCCCGCTGATCAACTCTACATATTTTATGAACTGGAAATTTATGCTGAAGAAATGTGACTATTGTGTTAATTCTACAAAATCGTTCACTGTATTACAATTTATCAACTTCGTTATTACTGTAAACCTACATTGACACGCCCGGATTGGCTGTTGACAACGTGTGAGATTGTGACATGTGCTGTGCGCCCGTTATTTGATCTGTAGGAAATACCACGGAAACATATGACGTCACCAGATTTTGGGCACAATGGCCGCCTGTCGTCCATTACGGACAACTATGAACTTTGGAATGACAAAAGTGTTTTATTGACATTAAGTGATACAAAGGTATGTCGTCTAACACTATGTTATGTTTATATGACTTGGCAATATGAGCGATCATATTCATAGTCGTAAATTTCTTTATACCACGGAAACCCATGACGCGAGGGTACGTGTGTAATACTAATAACTAGGCACCCCCGTCGAGGCAGCTCGCCGAGTGACAGTAAGGTTTATACAATAAAAAGGTTCTATGATTTTATACGGTCTCTGTAATGGGCTTTGCGTTGTGTAATTTTTTGTAGATCTTTTGATGAAATGTTTAGAAACAGGAACCATTCTATAAACCTTATTTATAGCTCTATGGCGGTTGAAGGCAGTTATTAGATTAGGCATAACCAAGAGTTTTCTGTGAAATGACAACACAATTCAAGAATTACCAAATAAATACAATGTATTCCTTAACAAAAATAAATAAACCAAACTTAACAAAATAAATCCATCTTTTTCTCTCACACAATCAAATTTTCAGTTTGTTTATTAGCTTTTGTTTTACTGCAACCCACTAGGGTGTAGCTGTATACACAAGATATATTCTACACGACATAACACAAGGTCTCTACACTGACTGCCTCAACTATCAAGAGTAATTTGAAGATGCTGAAACTAAGTCATATATTTGTACATATATACTCCTACATGCTCACTTTTTGGCAACCAGAGGGAGATTGTTGTCGCTCTCATAAACTGAAAACTTTTGTTTACAGCAATGAAGTGGAATTCTCCTTCAGACAACTTTTGATTTGCTCAATCTATGGCACAATTTTAAGCAAAGTTAACGACATATTACTGTTTTGTCTGATCCATACTAGATCGGGGCTCCAGATAAGGGCCGTATCGGTGTATGTACGGATAAAACATATGCAAGATATGGTAGGAAATAATTTAGAAAGCGTAGCAGATACGCACCACAGCAATGGTGTACGGTCTTAGAATCATTTACAGACGTATTTATCTGAAAAAGTATTGTTTTATTGTTTATTGACCTGTTAACACAAGAGTAGCAATGTTGTGGTGCATATATGAAACGAAACACAAGATTACTGATACTCCATTAAATTCCATTCAGTACTCTAAATGTATTCTTACTGTTTTCCAGTACTCCTATATTGAAAAAAATAAGGAGTACGTACTCCTGATCATGAAAGATAATCTGGAGCCCTGCTAGATTATTTACTGTCTTCTAACATGTGTCTTATAGTCTGATTTTTGCTGAATGTGGCATGAAACAAGATCTAAACAAGCATAAAGATGTAGATAATAGTTCAAAGTCAGTCAGTTTTTCAGTGTGATACCATGTTTGATACCATCACTAATTATTTCAGAAAAAAAACTGAACAGGCTGAAGGGACGTTCACGTCGTGAACCTTCATCCCATGATATTGTCCAATCCCTGTCAAAATTGCGGAATGATCAAATGGAACGTTTCCTGAAGGAGGAGTCAAGTCAGACACAAGCTGTCAACTTATCCAGTGGAGGAGAAGCAACATCATCATCATCATACATCCAGCGTCGTCTCTACCCCGAGAAACAGGCTGTCACTGGAGATGAACTGGTTGTATTGTTGCAGGTTGGTCTCATCATCAGTGAACCTTTGACACAAACACAAATAGACCTGTGAAGGTCCGGGTTAGAATGTGCCTTCAGTAACCCATGCTTGTCGTAATAGGCGACTAACAGGATCGGGTGGTCAGGCTCGCTGACTTGGTTGTCATCGGTTCCCAATTGCGCAGATCAATGCTCATGCTGTTGATCACTGGGTTGTCTGGTCCAGACTCAACTATTTACAGACCGCTGCCATATAGCTGGAATATTGCTGAGTGCGGTGTAAAACTACAGTCAGTCACTCACTCATCATCAGTGATGTTTTACAGCAGATGAAATGCAAGGATTTCTTATTTATGTCAGTATTGCACCCAAAATGCTTACAGGACCTTCAGTTGGTAGATGGCCAACATTGGATTAACTTATCTAAATTTCTTTAAGTAATTTACACAATGATTGAAAAATATGTTGTTTTTATATTTGTATTCCTATTTTTTATGCCCAACCGCTCTCAGCTGATTGAGATGAGAGATGAGAAACGCATATAAAATAGGGATGGGTTTCAGTCTAAGTAAACTTACGCTCAGTATTATTCGTTACACTGCTATACTGAGTCTAACAAAACCTAGTAGAAGGTCGCGTCAGCTATCCTTTGAGCGACCTATGACCGTCCAATCAAACGCGACACAGCCGAACGGATTTAACCAATCAGACAACGACTGCTTGTTAGGGTTCGGCGGGACTCACAAAACGGTTTTGGGATTTTTTCTCTCTGGTCGCTGACACTGATCTATCAACGAAACGAAAATCCGCATAAAACACAGATATTTGACCTGCAGTATATATGCTTATGGGTTTCTAATGACATGGTTACTATTTGCTTATATTTTTGCAAGATGACATCCTTGAATATTGACAAAAACATTATTTTCAGTGACTGTTTACTCATTGCGTGTATCACTCGGAAGCGATCGTGCGGAAAATAGCATTTGGAAACGTTTGAGTTTTGAGGTAAAGGTTCAAACGGTATGTGCAAATGTTAACTTTCGCGATTTGGTAAGCTGTGTTCTGATTGGTCAGTCCAAAAGGTTAGCTGACGCGACCTTCTACTAGGTTTTGGTAGACTCAGTATAGCAGTGTAACAAATAATACTGAGCCTAAGTTGACTTAGACTGGGATGGACTTCAACATGTTACAGGAACACTACTAGTTTAAAATGGGACAATATCATTTTTTGTGTGCATGTGTTGATATTCCGTTCTCATAGCAGTGCTTTAGTGCGTCATATTTATGCCTTTTCATTTTTCAGTGTAGCTTCTTAGTTATGTTGTACCATGTTGTTATGTTGTTGGTTATGATGATGACAGTATATAGTACAGCCTGTCGGTAGAGCCTGCAGGGGGACTTACCTTTATCAACAGTAGTGGTGGTCCGATTAATTGAAATAATCTTAGGTTGGTCGCAGTGACTAAACGACTAAGCAATCGATCATGTTTTCTCATAATCGAACACAAACAATTCTGGAACACTTGTTTTCATAAACAATATTTTTCACAAGGTTGGTTTTGTCTGTTACATTTCGTAAGCACTACAAGCTCGTTTCAAGTCATGATTGAATTTATCTTAAAGACTCCAAGAAATTTATGTTCCTAACATACTAGTCATCCTTTAAAGATGTGAAATTTTGCCAAAAAACCCCAAAAGAACTACATGTTTTTTTCCTTATTTTTATGGGCATTAACAAATTTCATTAATGACGCTAACCAATTTTTTTCGATGATTGAACGGTTGTAATGAACCAATCATCAATTATAAGATTTTGACCAATTCCCAACACTAATCAACAGACCAGAATCGATCTTCAGCAACCCATACATGTTTGAGAGGCAACTTACACTTACAGGTTCGGGGGGTTAGGCTCACTGACTTGGTTGACACATGTCATCGAATGCCAATTGGGCAGATCAATGCTCATGGTGTTAATCACTGGATTGTCTGGTCCACACTTGATTGTTTATAAATCACCATCATATAGCTTGAATATTGCTGAGTGCGCGGTAAAAGCGAAACTCACTCACTCACTCAAAGATTGTTTATAAGCTATCTTTTTCATGTATGCTTCTTCTCCAGGATGATGCCTTAGCAATCAGAATTGCAGAGGAGCAGGAACTTGAGGAACTGGCAGCAGGGAACGGTGCCGCTGCTGCCATGGTAATATTGAAGACTGGGTCAAAGACTAAAGAAGAAATAGTCTCAGAACCTGTTCCCATGAAAACTGATGTTGCAGATGCAGAGACATTGAGCATTTCAAGAAAAGAAGATTGTTCAGGAGCTTCTTATGTAGACAGTGAACAAGATAATAGTGAGCACAAGACGTAAGGCTGGAAAGAAGACAGGCATCATCTTAACGTATGTCGGTATGTGGAGATTTTCAATGATGAGTTTGATGCAAAGATGTGACATGACGTTGTCATGACTTCTTTGAGAAAGTACAAATGAACAGTTGGATCACTGATCATTATTCGGTAGAAGGGATTTCCCGGAACAAGAGGGAAGAAACAATCTAAAAAACATTGTTGCTGTATTTGGTGATTTTAGAATCTCATAGGTCAAACAGGTAGAGTACATATATGTGACAGGTATACCATGATTATATTGTTTTGTTTACATTATGCAGTGTCCATTCTAGGCTAAACAGACACTGGTTGCCCAGTCGTATGAAGAGTTGTGTCCCTTAGCTGAGCAGACATTCCATAGATGGAAGATAAAATGGGAGATATTTTTGCCAGCCCCATGCCTGTTCTTGTAGGTTTCTTTAGGTGACAAACATCTATCAACACTTTCAATCTAGACTGAAATAATAAGTGTTAAAAAGGTAACATTCAAATGTTAACAGGGGATGTTAATATTGAAATCTTAAAGGGGGTTTTCCATGGTAATCTTGAAATCTTAAACAGGGTGCCCATGTTAACATTGAAATCTTAAAAGGAGTATTTATGTTAACATGTTAAAGCTCGCATGTTGTATCCCGGAGAAAAATGGCATTAGTCTAGACAAGTACAAGAAGTGTAGACCCCCTTTAAGAGCAAACTTGGTGCCCTGTCAAAGATTAGAGTCAACCTTGCAATGGATTTGTATCTATAGTGTCAGTAGCATCAGGTATTTTACCTGCAGAAACATTCCATGAATCTAGATGTAAGTCAGTGCAAGAGGTACACATCAACCTGCTGTCATATCACTGTGCTGGCACAGATTATGATCATAGGTTGATTTTTGTGTAAATATGGTCACATGTTTTGTGTAATAGTTTTGATCATGTTTTGATCATCAGGGTTTGATTGTGGTGTGATTTGTTAATGAAACAATCTTCTGTGGCGATTATTATTCAATAAATTTATCATCTATGTTTCAGATTCGTTGTCTTTATTCTGGTGATTTTTCTTATCACTTTATTTACGATGTTTTTCTGTTTTAATGGAACCAGTTTATGTACAGTACAACCAGAACTTATTGAGAATTTAAAGATTGTAATTTTGTATTTTTTTTCACTCATTACTCGCGTATTAAATGTGAATATTAGCAGAACATAACTCCAGATTCAAAGACAGGTGAACAGTTAGTATTTTGTCAAGTCACCATGGGCAGAAATGCAGGCTTCAATGCGGCGGGGCATACTACTGATCAAAGAAGTTAGAAAGTCGTGGTCCATGCTGTCCCAATATCGGACCACCTCTTCTTTCATTTCAGCAATATTTGTAAGATTTTTCTTATTGACACTTTCCTTCATAAGTCCCCAAACAGTTTTTTATTGGATTTAGGTCAGGGCTATAGCTTGGCCAATCAAATAATGTCATATTTTGGGTCCAAAACCAGGCCTGTGAATGCTTTGAACGATGTTTTGGGTCGTTGTCCTGCTGGAAAATCCTTAAAATTTCCATAGAACACGTGAGCAGATGGAAGTAAATGTCCCTCAAGAATATCTGTGTACCGCTCACTGTTCACATTCCCTTCAAATACACATAGGGGCGTTGCCCCTAACCCAGATATGCCACCCCACACGTTAAATTTCGGCATGTACTTTGGGCGCTGATACCAAGGTTTTTCAGTTTGTTTGGTCCAGAATTTCAGTGTATTAGGAAACAGCCACATAGAACTTTCATCTGAGAAAATCACATTGTCCCAGTTAAAATTTCTATGCTGTAAGCACCAGTTCAACCTTCGCTCCTTTTGTTCAGGTTTCATGATCGATGATGGAATTCCTCGACTTTTCTGCCAACCCATTGCATGCAGCTCAGTTCTATTGTCTCCTTACAGACAGCCACAGTTCCTCTATCAATCGGGGCAGTGGGGTAGCCTAGTGGTTAAAGCGTTGGCTCGTCACGCCGAAGACCCGGGTTCGATTCCCCACATGGGCACAATGTGTTAAGCCCATTTCTGGTGTCCCCCGCCGTGATATTGCTGGAATATTGCTAAAAGCGGCGTAAAACTAAACTCAGGCAGTCAGTCAGTCCTCTATCAATCATATCCAACCTTAAGTTTTCTAAACCCCTTCGTTTGTTTTTAGAAACAAGAATACCAAGCTGCCTCCTGTCACCGACAGTCAATTTTCTGGGCCTACCTATGCCTCCCTGGTGCTCAATGCCATATCCATTTGCAATATTTTTCAAAACACGATAAACAGTGGACAAAGGGATGCCTGTTCTACTTGAAATCACTTTAGCTGATCTGATGTCCTTGTTATAATACTCTAAAATCAACTTCCACTTCTCTAAATCATCCATACTGACGATCACTCAAAATGTTGTCTGCTAGCAAGTAAACAAAGGGGGATAACTCTTCACAAACAAATGAAAAAGGATTAACTGAGTTGTCTCTCTTGAATGAAACCAAGCACTTGATAGCTGGTCAAGGTTGTTTATACTAGAAATCCAATTAAACATATTCCTAAAATTCTCAATAATTTCTGGTCATAATATTTTTGTTTACTCAGTATTATACAAGGTTGCCCACTTTGGCCATATGTTCTTCCATCACAATGAGAAGAAATCTGCATGGCATGGACTTTTCAATGTGTATATAAATGATTTTGCTAGGTGATATCCACATTGAATCTCAAGTTTCATAAGAACATTTTGCACAGAAGTAAATTATGATATCTGTAAATACCAACTCAAGATTAATGAAATCTAACAGATTGATCACACAGGTTTTAAGATCTCTGAAGGCAATGCGATTGGTCAAATCTGTGGCATCAGGAATAAGCAGAATGCCCAATAACAACATAAGTAAGTATACTCGCAAACATTTAGAATTTCATGACTGTCAAAGGTTTTGTTAAATCCAGAATAGTGTTGTAAGAAAGTAGTATTTTTTCAGATAAGTATTCCATCCATGCTGCACAAGTAGATAAGATGAAAGTCAGGTTATATAAGTTACTTGCTTTTATAAAGGTACGCCAACTACTAGAAAGCGTTACATCACAAAAGGTCTTGAATGATGTAGCCTGTCTTGTTTAATTACTTCAACCGAGCCAAGGTATGTAACTCTAGTTTACTAAACCATGCATCCAGTGGTGGTAGCACACTAGATATTGTACAGGTGCTTCGTGATTTTGCAGCAACTAATAATCATCACACCCATGACAATATCTACCGACCGCTTCCGTGGTGTAGTGGTTAGAGCGTCCGCCTGGAGAGCGGAAGGTCGCAGGTTCGATCCCCGACCGCATCATACCAAAAGACGTTAAAATATGGTACTTGTTGGTCCCTGCCTGGCGCTCGGCATTAATGGGTACAACAAGGACTGGTCGGCTTGGAGTCAGTATAATGTGTTTGAGTGGGGTATTCATGCTTCACTGCGGCATGGTATCTCAGTGGGCTAGCACTATAAAACCAGCTTAAGTCTGGGCTAGTGCAAGCAGCTGCACATACACATACACACGCATGCACGTCGTCATATGACCGAAATATTCTCAAGCACGACGTAAAACCCAATTTCACCTCACCTCACCACCTCACAATATCTACTGCCACAGAACAAAGTTTGTCCATAGTTCTTTTTCTGTAACCATGGTAACCGAAGCTCTTTTCCTCACACCAATACAATATATGAAGCCTCTTTTATCCTAATGCAAACCCCAGCTATCAAAAGGTGACCTGTAAGTCATCATAGAGTTGAATATTGTTGGGGGTGATGTTAAACCAAACACTTTTACAGGATAATGTCACCACAAAACAAATATCAGCTATCATGTTTTTCACTTTACATCATCAGAGCTGGGGAGTGCCATCAGACACCTGACAAAGGTTGCAGTTTTGTTATTGTAAACCGGTGTTATTCAGGCCTCCCTGACTGTCCTTGCTGATGATCTAGCAGACAAAACATTTGTCTGGAAGGTGCAATCCCTGGAGACGTCGACCACCTCCGTGGTGTAGTGGTTAGAGCGTCCTCCCGGAGAGGCGGTCCTCGAGAGCGATCCCCGACCGCGTCATACCAAAAGACATTAAAATATGGTACTTGTTGGTTCCTGCCTGGCGCTCGGCATTAATGGGTACAGCAAGGACTGGTCGGCTCAGAGTCAGTATAATGTGTCTGAGTGGGGTATTCATGCTTCACTGCAGCATGGTATCTCAGTGGGCTAGCACTATAAAAGCAGCTTAAGTCTGGGCTAGTACAAGCAGCCACACATACACATACACACGCATGCACGTCGTCATATGAGCGAAATATTCTCAAGCACGACGTTAAACCCAATTTCACCTCACCTCACCTCACCTCACCTCACCTCACCTCACCTCACCTCACCTCACCTCACCTGGAGACGTCATATCAAGATATTAAAGTCGGTACTTCTTGTTGCTCTCTTTGGCTCCTAGCACTATGAAACAATCAGCTTGGAGTCAGTATACTGTGTTCAAATGGGGTATGCATGTTAAACTGTGGCATGGTATCTTTTTCGACTAGCACTATTAAACTGGAATGAGTAAAAGACACACACACACACACACACACCAAAATCCACTTTATATGAGCAATAATCTTAAGGTGGACGCATAACCCCATTCCTTACCTCCTCTGCTTCCAGTTAGTTGATAATGTATTGTTGATCTTATGTCAACTGATTCTCACTCTTTTGCCAAAAGAACCAACAATAACTTCATGACCAGATGTCCACAATTCCAGAGTTTGAAGGGTGCAACAATCATAGAATGAAACTGTTTGTTTTGCCTTGACACCAAAAAATATGGTCTCATATACATGTAAACAAGCAGCTTATATCATTCATGTTTTGTAATTGCATCACCTTATTTTGTATATCTGTGAAAGCCATTTAATGTTTAACTATGACATTCTTTAACATTGTGCATCATGGCACACCACATAGTGAATGGTGAAGTAGAGTTACTTCCCTTTAGTTGCTTGGCTTTCATTCACTGGGGTGTGCTACAGGTGTTAATATGGATCAAGGGGGATTCTGGGAGTAGAAGAGACCCAAGGTGCTTTAATGCTTACCTCCCCTGCTGTAAGAATCTCTTGCTGACGTTTCTCTCTCTTATAATGTTCTAGCTCCCTCTCTCTTTTCCTCTCCTTCTCACTTACTCTATTGGATAATGGATTTCGGCAAATTTCCCCAAAAGATAGGTTGAGATATATGCAATCAGATAATGAGTGAGGTTGTTTTTGCTATTTAGTATATATCAATCCAGTCACATGTATTAATCAATCCAGTCACATATGTATCAAGTCTAATATATATTAGTCCAATGATGTGTATATCAGCCCAGTCCCATGTATCTCAATCCAGTCACTTGTATGCAGTCATATATATCAATCCAGTTGCATATATATATATATGTCAGTCCAGTCACCTATATCAATATGTATATCATTCCAGTCACATGTATTAATCCAGTCACGTGTATATCAATCCAGTCACAAGTGTATCAATCCAGTCACATATATATATATCAATCCAGTCACATGTATGTCAATCCAGTCACATGTATACCAATCCAGT